CCCCCTCTCTCTCTATATATATATATATATATATATATATATATTTTTTTTTTTTTTTTTTTTTTTTTTTAAATAATGCTGGTATTTTTACAATAAAAATCTATTTTTACATTTTCATAGTATTTTAACCTCCAGTTTGGGGGTTAGATATTTGCTCATGGCATAACTGGTGCTACCACTTTTGGTCAGGGTGAACCTGGGAGCAACAGAATATAACAGGTGGTTCCATGCTCCTCAAAGCCTCCTAATCAGAGGCCTTGCTGCTGGATCTAGTTTATCATCATATCCAGGACTCAAAATGTTTATAAATCTAAAAAGCTAAAATTATTTATAAAGGTTTCCATTGTGTTCCATATATATATATATATATATATATATATATATATATATATAAAATTGTTTCATCCAAAGTAAGGTGATAATGCCATGAGGATGCAGGGGATTACAGGGAGTGAAATGAGAAGACATTAGTGGGGAAGAGTGAAGAAAGGACAATAAAAGAACAGGGTTAAAGTAAGTAGTGATTGGCATTCCATTTAAATTTCTGGAGATTGTAGGTATCAGGGAAGCAAGAAATCAGAAGGGAGTTCTATGGGTTAGAAAAGAAACTATTAGAATTGCATCTAGCTAGTAAAACAGTGAGACCTAGTTGTGAAATAAGTGGTATGCTTAAATTCATGCAGTTGAGGCACTAGGGTGAAAAGAGCTCACCAGAACAGTTGCCGTGAAAAGATTTGTAGAAAAGACCAAGGGAAGCCATGTCATGTTGGTAAGAAAGCGACTGAAGTTGAGATGTCAGGATCGATTACAGCACAGACCCTCCTTTGAAGTTTGTCAAACCTCTCAAGATATACAGCCAGACCAGATATGGCAGCAATATTCAAAGCATGTATGTATGGTAGATAGCCTGTCTCCAATCATGAAAGCAACCTTAACTTCAAGGACATATACAAACAGAATGACTAATAGAGAAAGAGGGAAGTAATAAATTTATCTTATGAGTAGCTCTTTTCAAACAGAAAGCATAATTGTGAAACCTTGATAACACTGAGTAACACTTATTGAATGATATTCTGACACTTGATTCTAGGTAATTTGAGTGTCTTGAATACAAATTTTAACTCGGTTTGGCATTATCAGGTCCTGATTCTTGTCAACAGCCTATGTACCATTTTCCAGATTTTTCAATTGTGTTAAATATCTTTTTCATGTTTCATGAATAGAAACAAACTACAGTAAAATTGCATTATAATGATAGAAATGAATTGAAATAAAAAATAAAAATTTCACTGTGGCAAAAATTCTTTTTCAGGACTTTTTTGCATATTTGTTTGTTGATGGCAGGTCTCTTTTCATGCACCAGCAGTAATCAAACATCATGTGAGAATTCCAGAGGACTTGGTACCATTCCTCCATAATTTTGATATCTTGGTGGAATCTTTCCTCTTTTAGTTGTCCTTGAATATTCTACAGAATTCTACAAGAACATTCTAGAATTCTGATATTTTTAGCTTAATTTACTAATATTAAAATTGGTTAAAAATTAAAAATATTTTTAGGGTGTTACATATAAAAGTATACATAATATAACAATACCATAGCAATAGGTACAAATACCTAGATAAAAACTAGTGGCATAATGTGTAACTGCAAAAAAACTTAGTGAGTATTGAGAAAAAACGTTTTTATGAATACAATGAAAAAGGAGGGGTGCTGATAAAAATCAGGACCTGATAGAGCAAAACTGAGTATTAAAAAAAAAAGATTTGTACTCAGCACACTCAAATTATATAGAACTGCCAAATCTAATTCTGTAGGCAAAAATTTGAAATTTGTTCTCCAGTGTCATGATTACAGGTGTTTTAATTGTTAGGTTGCTTAGTGTCACTCAATTAACAAAGAAAAACTTGTAGGTCTGCATTTTCAGTTTATTTAACAATCTCCTCAAATTTCTTCCTAACATGATATTCTGTTAGTTGTCTCTACTCCAATATGAGATCAGACGTGTTCCTCCACTTGTTATGAAAAAACATGAGTAGCCAAAGTTATCTCTTTTCATCTTGTATATTGATAAAAAAAAAACAAAACTTGTATAATGAATATAAAAATTTGATACTTTCCCCTAATATGAGTTGAATGTATTTCTTGTTATACAGGACGTGGCATAAATACTTCCCACATATACTGTCTTACCATTATGTGGGAGGTATTTCTGCCATACACTATATAATTTAAAAAAAAAAAAAAAAAAAGTGACATTGTCGTAAAGTACATTTATTTGCTCTTGTCATGAAGAGTACATAGTGATGGTGAGAAGTTTCTTTTCTTCCTTGAACTAGGACAGATCTCACTGACCTCTAAACTTATGAACTGTCTGTTTGCAATTGGTGGGTAGGTCAAATTTAATACTACTACTGCAAAAGTATGAAGGACAGTTTTATTAACCTTTATTATTACTCTGTATATGTCTTTGTTTGCTGTACAAAAAATTTATCCTGCTATTGAAGGTGACTCTGATCCCTGAATTTGAATTTCGTAGTTGTTGTGTTATATCCTGCTATAGCAAAAGAAAACAATGTGACTGTCACTGTGCCACACTTTTTCAATTTTACTCATAGAGCCCAACATATCCTACTGTTTTGGAATCGGGCCAACTCCATGAACAAAGATTATTCCAGGTCAGATCTGGACCCACAATCCTCCCAAGTTTTCATTACTGCAATTGTTTTCAGATTCTGCCATATTGGCTTCTACTGATAAAAATAAATGGACACAACTCTAACTTTCAATAGCTCATGTTCAAATGAAAAAAATTACTGTTCTCAAATTACAGTGTTTCAAAATAAAATTGACTGTTTTCAACTTTACTCCTAGAGGCTGTACTCCAATATCTCCATGCCATTTTGGAATCGGGCTGACTCTGTGAGCAAATTAAAAACATTTTGAGCTGGACCCATAATCCTGAAATTTTGAATTCACAAGTTTTCATTACTGTGATTGTTTTTGGTGATTTGGGATTTTTTTTTTTTTTTTTTTTTTTTTTTTTTTTAACAAATTTATTAAGAGGAAAATATTGGTCATGCAAAGATAAAGATAGTCCACTGGTCACTGAAGGCCATGTGTTTGAGGATCCCCCCCCCCCCGATCTATGTAAATTTATCAGTGTATTAAAAGAAGCTTATGTTCCTACATTGCAAATATTTGTACAGTGTTTTTGCATTTTATTTTATTTTATGGTCATTGTTTAGGATTAAATGTAAAGAATTTTTCCTATTAATCGGTTTGGTGCCTTGAGTTGTTTCTTTGCTTTTGACATTTAAAGTTTATAAAAATGAAAAACATGTACTGGAATTTAATACACAAATTAGTAGGGAAGCTATGTTTGTTTTTTGTCTATTAGAAATTTGATCTATTAGTCATGAACTCTAATAATGTACTACTATAGTGATTACCTCTTGCAGCCAATCCTCATGACTGGTCATGGTTGGAAATGAGTGCAATAGCTTTTTACTGTTACGACTACTCGGGCAGTGTTATGGGAGAGTGATTTACCTAAATGCTTACTTACCCACTGTTCTCCAGCTATTACAGCATGATCATGAGACAGTCAGGGCTAGATTATCCTGTGGGTGAGGAGAAGCTGCAGCCTGGGGCCCCCTCAAGCTTTTCTAAAGCAATGATTTTAATTTTCTACATGTTATAACTTATTTATCTAATCTTTGTTGCCATATTTATTACAACATTTTGGCCATTGTATGCTCCAGCCTTCTTCAGGTGGTTGGAATGTTGAACTGAACCCTTTATTTCACTTACTGGGGTTCCACGTGCCATGTTTAATGGATGTCAGTTATCTCCTGTTAATTTCCCTCTGAAAGTTCTCCACTGCCTTAACTGGGTATTGAACTCAGTCTTTGGGTCCTGTCACTGGATCTAACTAACACCTTTATCCACTGTGCCATGTGGCCTTGAGTAAAGCTAAAATATATTGTGCGTAAAAAATATTTAAGACAGGTGTGGGCAAGTTAGAGTGTAGCTTCGTCTGTGAGGGGATCCCCATCATTTCATTAGCCTAGGGATCTGAAAAGGTCATAATCCAGTCATGGACATAGTTCAGAGAAAAATGAATTAATGCTTCTATTATTTAAAAAAAAAATTTTTTTGTGTGTGTATAATCATTAAGATACTAGATGACATTTAACACTGAGTCATGTTAAGATTTCATGTCAAGTGTCCAAATTGTTCAGAAATATCTAAACTATTGGCTTTATACAACCATTTTCTAAGATCAATGATTAAAAATGGCTTCAAGCAAATGAAACCTGTAGGTCTTGAAAAAGACAATCTTTTTATTGGATATTATAGACTGGCACTATTAAGTCACAAAGAACTTTACCAAATAACCAAAACCACATCACTTGAAGAGTTCCAACTGTAACAACAAAAATGAGTAGTACGTGTGACAAGAAAAGGAAATAATAATATAATCAAGATATTGATGTTCCACACTACTTTAAACAAAAGGTTTGAAAGGAAACTCATGTCAGTACTAGAAAGAGCAATAACAGTCTGCTTGAGAAGCCTAATTTCCTGGAAAAGATTAAGATAATAAGGAAGCTATAGATTTTTTTAACCAACAATAACACTGTTTGGTCAATATATGTTGACTATTTTCTATATAGTAATGGCTAATTTTACTCTTACCAGGCAATTCTTTCTGTTGATGTTGTCCTTTATAAGGAATTAATTTATACTTTTTTCTTTTTTTTTTTTTTTTCAAAAAGTTTTATAAAAGGTGAAGAACAATGGTGCAGTCATTATTTTAAAAATTATTCTAATTTTACTTTCATGTTATTTTCATTTCCTTATCAGATTCCAATTGCTTTCATCACATATGACTTACCTTTGCATATCTTTTTGATTTTGTTTCAGTGCAATCAGCTAAATTGAATCCTGCCGGTCTTTTCAAACCGGACCCCTACCTAGAGCTTAGTGTTGATAGTATGATACCAAAGAAAACTGAAGTTTGTAAAAAGTCCACAACGCCAAGATGGGAAGAACATTTCACCGTGTAAGTAATCCAGCTTATATATTAAAAATACGGTACTGTAATTTTGGGTCTCTATTAATACAGTATTAACATATATAGTATATTAAAAACATGTGCATTTTTAGTTGGTATATTGTACGGAAAGTAATCTGAAACTAAGATTTTTATTCTTTCTCATGTTTCTTGCATCTTTTTATATTAGTTTAATGTTTTTTAAAGTTTAAAGTTAATCATAGTTGCCGCTATAAGAGTGACAATGTTCATGAACATTTTAAAACTAAGTTTCATATTAAGCTCTTTTAGTTTTCAAATAAAATAAAAGAAATAACTTACAAAGTTTGAAAGAATTTATAAATCTTGTTGAAGTCCAATGTGAGAAAAAGGATTAAAATTTAAAAAAAAAAAAAGTTCTCCTATTAAAATCAACAATGGTACTATTTTAAAATCTAATTGTAATCCACAAATGATTTCTTACATTAAGATCATTTGGGTCATTAGCAACAATCTTTAAATATAATATGCTACAACAATATATATATATATATATATATATATATATATATATATATATATATATATATATATATATATATATATATATGGTATTTATTTGAATGTGCTCAATATTTTGTGATACAGCTAACATGATGTGTATAAGGGTCAATGTGCAAAAAGACCTCATTCATGTCCACACTCAAAAAGCTAACAACAACAACACAATCCCTTTTTTGCCTCTCTCTTCGCACGAGTTGATGAGGGAGGGTGCAGTGAACTATAAAGAGAACCGCTCCTTAGGATGACACATTTTATAGTAAGAACTAAATTGTATTGAATCTCGACACTCAGTTTTGACATTTAACAAAAACCTAACTAGAAGGATGGACAGCTTTGAGCTATTGTGCTTTGGTAAATTTTGCAGTAAAAAAATTTTGGTTGTAAATATGTAACATTTATGAGGATAAAATACATATATCTTTCCCTAGACGTTTATAAATTATACACTGTTCAGTTATTAACGTTAACAACAAACTATTTTAAATTATAAAATTATACATAAATTAAACAAAAATTACTTACAATATAATACATATTACTTATAGTACATTCCTTGCTGCCAATTTTGATGGCATTGGTACACTAGTATAAAATAATAGTAATGTTTTCTTTTTCACATATTCTCTCTAACTTAGTAACTCCTTGCATCTTAATGGCTTTATTGCCTTGCTTGGGGTAAAATGTTAAAAAACAAAAGGTAACAAAACTAAGATAATAAAAAATTTTTTCTAGTATAAAAACATTGTTTGTTCTCTTCCATACTTTTAAAATTTTTTTTATATTTTTTATTTTTTATAAAGAAAATTTCTTCCTCAATATCAGGAAGAATATGATATTGGTTGCTGTCTAACCAAGACCAGAATATTTTATACATTTAAAAACTGATTCCATTTTGTAAAACCTAAAATAAATCGGAAATCTCAAATTTAAAAATTCAGCTGTTTTTTTTATCATTTCAAAGTTTTGAAAGTAGTTGTTTTTAGAATTTAAAAATGTTAACCCAAATTTCTGTTAAAATATTGAAAACAAATATTTCAGCTGAAATCAAAATCTGCACTTAGAAATGTGCAGACAAATTACAAGAATTTCTTTCTCATTCAATGTTTTTTTTTTTTTTTTTTCTAATTTCAGACTAGTCACTCCATATTCAAAACTCGATTTTCGTATTTTGAACCAGAACCACATTCGAGCAAACTCACTTATGGGTGAAGTTATACTTGACTTGTATCCTCTTTTGAAGGAAAATAATGGAAAATGTAAATATACCCTTTCGTTTTTTTTCTTTTTTTCCATCATATTTGACATAGGTTTATTTTTTCTTCTTCTCTCATATTTAAATTGAATCACTCTTTCTTTATTTACTATAATTTATGCCTTTTGAATAATTGTCTCAGTCCTAGGACTTATGGTATGCCTTGAATTTAATGGTCTTTTTGTCTCTGTCTTGTCTTTCTAGTTAATCATCATTCAAAAACACTGGATTTAAAATTAAATGGAAAAGGCAAGGTGGGGGACTTGTCTATTGTGTTACATGGGATGGATGTCAAAATGGAACATCTTCCCCCAAAACGTCATAGTGCTGCTTTGGCAAATGGTAAGTTCGACATTTTTAGTCAGAAGTTTTCAAATTAAGAAATATGGTGTTGGGTTGTTTTTTAACATTCTTAATATGCTTTCAATTCAGTTTTGTTATTTTTAGAGTTCTGTTTTATTACTGATTTTCTTTGCTATTAATATATTTCTATCATAAATTGGAGGTGTCCTCATTTTAACTGATTTCTAAAATCTTGCGGTCCAGTAAGTTTCTTGGGACTGATTTACTTGTTTGTGGATTATATTTCAAATGGTAAAATCCAGTTTTTGTGGGAATATTAAATATTCTTTTGATGCCTTCTTGGGAGTTTTACTAACTTTTAATCAAGTAGTTATTTTTGAATGAAAAGTTGAAATGATTAAATTATACAGGGTGTGGTAGAAATACCTCCTACGTAATGGTAAGGCATTAGCTGGATGGGGAGCCATCATTGATACTAATATCTTACCATTATATGGGAGGTATTTCTGCTGTACCCTGCATATAAAACACACAAAAAAAGAGTGGATCAGTCCAGAAGAACTTTTGAATCTTATGATTTTTTTTTTTAAAAATAGAAACTATGGACGTCTTAAAGTCTGCTATTTGTAAGGATAGCCCTTCTTGTGGCTTGGAAAAATTGACTTAAAATTGTTCTTTCAATCTTGGCAGAATACTGATGAGGTTATATATTAAATTGATTTGAAATTTTTCTTTCAATCTTGGCAGAATACAGATAAGGTTATATATAAATAAATATTTACATACAGTCCTCTAAAGAGGAGTCTTTATTTTTTGTTTTAGAAAATAAGAATTTTGATTATAAAATCATTAATGGGATAAGCATTTATTTTAGCTTTCAAGTCTGCAGTATCTTGCAAAATTGTTTATTATTATTTATTTATGAGAAAAATTTTGAGATTTATAAGACACAAATATCAAATAACTAGAGTGATTAAAAGTCGAATTTCAAATGGAATTATTTAGCCTTCAGTTTTGGTGTATACATGTTGTGGTGAAATGAGTCAAGAAGTTATCCTGTGATAATTAATTAGGAAAGAAAATTTGTCAGGGAATTGGGGTGCGGCAGGCTATGATTGGGGATTTGGGTGGGAAGTCAATTTAGGTGGAATTAAAAAATATGGAAAGGGTTGGGTGAGGTGAGTAAGTAATGAATTTGCTGCTCCTGTGTCACAAGAATCTCTGACTTATTTATTTTTTTTTCCTGATGTAGGCCTGTTGTGGAGTGGTTCCACAGTGGAGGCTTGTATTTGTACTAAGTCGGTCCTAAAATAGGTTTGATGTACCAAACGTTAGGAACTTCATATAATAGGTATGACGCAGAGTAAATCTAGTTGTGGTCACTGATACTTTAGTGTCCGGCATTGACTGACTGACTGAACCACTGAGCGACTCCCTTGTTACTCTTACTACTCTTACTTATTATAGGTGGGAGAGTCTATTAACTATAGAATAGGTGTGTTCCACTATAACACGGCCAAAAGGTATGTTTAAAGCAATGTTGATCACACAGTGATGGAACCTTTGACCTGAACTTCATTCTAATAGGAGAAAAAAAAAAATTATAAGAATTAAAAATGGAAGTTACTCAGTGACTATTTTGCAGAAATTGCTTTGCTTTTAAAAGGGTTTTTAAATAAGGCAGGAGATTACAAGATGTCCCCCCCCCCCCAGAAAAGAATAAGATTAAGGAAATGAAGAAGAAAAAGGAAGGAATTTTTTCAGAGGACTAAAATCCAGAGAGGCGAAAGAAGTGGTAGAAAACAATTATTCTGATATAATGTAAGAATGATTCCTCCTGATAAAATAAGAGACACAAAGATGGTAGAAAAAAAAAATAAAATGTTTCACAAGTAGAAAAATGCAGGAGTAAGCACGATGAAGTAGCTGAACAAAAACTAGTTGAGTAAATGGTTTCTGTTGGGGGTGGGGTTAACCAAGAGGCTGAACAGGTATCTACACAAGTGGAAGATGCAGAAATAGAAGCAATGGCAGATGGAACAATCACCAGAAGAGTTACCAAACAAATGGTGCCATTTTGGAAAGAATGAGGCCATGGAGATTGTGCATAATTGAATTTGAAGAAGACAGGCTGCAGCAATGAAAAACAAACTTTATACACAAAAATGATTTAATTTGATTTTAAAGAATTCAGACACAACTTGCATGTCAAGAAATACTTAGCCTTGTGTTTCACACAGGAAATGTCTTTGAAAAGCCAGTTCTTCCTCTTGCAGTTATAACCATCAAAGTTCCAAAGATTTTTCAAAATGCTTCAAAGATTAAAGAATTTATCTGAAAATCAACATCTACAAGAAGACAAAGAAAGATAAGGAAAAAGAAATTGTCATTGATTGATAAAATTCTGTTTTTTTTTTTTTTTTTTTTTTTTAAAGTAGCAAGATAGTAATTGTTAGTCTTTTATATATATATATATATATATATATATATATATATATATATATATAAAAGTATAACAATAAAATAATTGTCGGACTTTTTTCCATTTCAGTAGTGTGTGATGTCATTTGTTTATGTTAAGATATGCTTCAAGCAGATATGGATGTTTGAGGGAAATCATGGGAAGGTTGTAATTTAAAAGCAGTAAAATCGACCTTGCTAATCAGACTCTCCTTTGTAGCTAAACTGGTATAGCATATGCTATACGACAGATACGTGTAGGATACAGGTTAGATTCATGTCTGAGGACGCATATTTTCTATGAAATTTCTCAGATATTCAGGCTGGTAAATGTTGTTAATACTGTTTATTATAAACAGAGCACTTATATATATATATATATATATATATATATATATATATATATATAAAAATTAATACAAGTAAAAGTTTTGTCACTTAGCTGATTGATGTTACATTAGCATCCCAACTCCAGAGTTTTGTAGACAAACCCTTTGGGAATCACTCCATCCACTCGTCAAAGGGTATATATTGTTATGAAAATTAATGGTAAAGAAAAAAAAAATTCCATTTGAAGTCCTAAAAAGCAAAATGTTTTTTAGGACTTCATTGGACTAAAGTGATGTTTGCATTGATGTAACTGTATAAAGTCAAGGGGATGCTGAAATTTGAAACTTTTAAATTTGAATTTTAAAGTTGAATTAGACCAGGAAACAGTAGTATTAAAAAATTAGGAATCAGCCAATTCTTTTACCTTGGTCTCAGCCTTTCAGTATCTTCAGGTGATTTCTGAAGATACCAAAAGATTGAAACCAAGTTACATTTAATACATAAGACTTGGATAACAACTCATTGCGGGGTGGGTGGAACAAAGATTGTGCGGCATGCTTTGTTTAGACACTTAGGTGGTGAGAAGTTATTGGGAGTTGAAGTAATTTGTGATCAAAACAGCAAAAAAAAGTCCTAATCTGGTTTGTGGACAAGTAGCAGTTGGAGCTTAATTATGCAATCATATCTTTATTCACTAATAGAAAAAAAAAAGTAGTTAGTCTTTGAAAAGCAAAGACATCGAAGAGATCAAAAATACTTGGGTAAGAAAAAAAATATGGTGTCTTCCTTGATGAATTTCAATTTAACAAGAAGAAGCTGATTAGAGAACTAGAAAAGGTTATTATAAAATAAATAGGCATAATATGTCTATATTATTTAATGAAACATATTTGAATGAATTTTATTTATTTATATATATATATATATATATATATATATATATATATATATATATATATAATTTTGTAATTCTAGTCTGATTTAGCAGATATTAAAAACCTACCTGTTGAAATAAATCTATCAGTTTTTTTCAAGTGTTAAGTTTTTTCTTATATATATATATATATATATATGTATGTATTCCTGTCTGTAGAATACAACTAGATTACTTCTGTCTTTGTTTCATCTACATTACCACTTGTTCTTTCCTTTGGCATATACAGGAAGAAGCACACCCATTAATATTTGCTAGTGAATCTCTTGTTATGACAAAGTTTAACCTAACCTTGTCCTAAAATCGGTAGCAGGTCTGCATATTCAGTTGTAGAACTTGACAGCATTTACATTGGCAATATTTTACCTCCACCTATACATTGAGGTTTCATTGTCACAGTTTCTGAACTTTTCTGAATGCATTACATCAACCATTCCGATTCTCAGTCCTACTCTAGTACACCAGCCAAATTCTTTTGTAAAAAAAGACTTTCTAGTTATTAGATAGGAAACATATTTCTAACAGCTGTTGTCTGTAGAAAGCCTTCAATATTATCAACTATAAAACCCACTCAATCTACTGTTTATTTGATTCTTTATCATTCAGCAAATAAAACCCATCAAAGACAATCCCGCTCAAAAATGACTTCTGTATTAAATACACCTAAACTAAAATTTATTTTTTGTTCATTTATTTGCTAGATCAAATGTTTTAATAATTTGCTGACCTTTTTGAGAAATTTAGAATTTAAAGTTCAACATTAGGTGGGTCAATATTAAATTATAATAGAGCATTTTTTTATTTATTTGTTAAATATCAGGTTTTTTGCTTGTAATTTTTTTTAGCTTAGAGTAATATAGCGATATATAATTTTGTATAATTTTATATATCAACAAACAGTATTTATAAAAATGACAAACTGGAAAATAATTTCTTGTGACACGTTTCATCTGTTAGGATTTCATTGGACTGAGCTTTGTTGATGTTGCTATGTCTACACATGCACATAAAATGAGGGACAGGTATTTTTTAAAAAAATATTCTTTCAAAAAAATTTGAAATTACCTGCGTCTCTCTTTTCGTGCACATGTGTAGACGTGGCAACATCAACAAGGTCAAGTCTGATGAAATCCTAACGGATGAAATGTGTGACAAGAAATTTTCCAGTTTGTCCAGATATAGCTTAGAGTATATTTTTTCCATATCTAGCTTAGAGTATAATATTTTTATTGTTGTAAAGTGGTTTTATTGTTTGTCTATATGATTTTAAATTTTGATATAAAAAAAGGTTAATTTGCTTATTAAAGAATCCTTTTTGTAATGTCAGAAATTAAAAAAAGTCATTAAATTTTATTTTGCTGTGTTGATTTAATTTATAATTATTGAGTGTCAAAATTATCAAAGTAATTTTTTTTTTTTTTTTTTAAATGTTAATCATTGTACCAGAGATATGTGTGTCTTCTAAATTCAGAATCTTTTAGATAAGATATTTATAAGTTATGGCTATATAGAATATATAAACTGCTACATTTGTATTTGAATGATTTTCACTGTAAGTTTGACTACAAGAAAAATATCAAGAATTTATGTTTCTACTTTGATCATGTTGCAGATTTTGAAAGTCAATGATTAACAATTATTTTAGTATCATAATTATATTTTAATTTATAATGTTTGTAATATTTTAATTTAGAAACAAAAAAAAATCAGTTTTGTGTATATTGATCAGATACAATGTTGCAAAACTTACCCAAAATTTAATTTACCAAAAATGTAAACAAAACCTAAGATTAGATTTTACTCAAATCATTTTAACTGCAAGAGTCTTTAAGAAAATTCTTACATTTGCAAATATCTTTTTCTTTGACATGTATCTGCCAATTTTTTGGTAACTTGAATATCTTTTCCTTTTTCGTAAAGTTTTCAAATTTCATTGTGCAATATTGGCAACTCGTTTTCTTTGACTGAGAGATGCCTTCATATATCTGATAGGATAAAGTCCTTGTTGTTTTCAGCCATTTCAACTGGCATTTTCTCCAAAACCTCTACAACCACAAATAAAGTTTTCTCCCAGGACTTCATGCATTCTCATGTACTAACTACTGACCACAAATATTGTATACACTCTAATTACCATCCTTGTTTTAAAAAAATTGCTTTGTTTTTGGTTTGTTTTTTTGGTCAGTCTTGCATTATAAAATTAGCCATAATCTTGAATTGAAAGAACAAAATTCAGTTGTTTGCAGCAAAAAAAATTGACATCCTCGGTTTTACTTAAAGCACAGGTTCACATTTAATTGTTTTCTGTATATTGAAATTCCTAACCCATTGTCTTTTGAAATATAATAATTTTGTAATTCAAATTTTGCAAATATTAATACAACATCTAACAAAATTTCCGTGAAAGGAGAATTAGAGTTTATACCATATATGCCCTGCCTATTTGATGTTTACCTTTTTATCTCCTGGTGCCGATGTTATTTCCTTGTTCCGATTTTCAGGTCGTCCAAATGTGCCAAACGGAATATCTGGCGCTCTGACGTCTGAGGGCTCCAGTCGTGACCGCCGATCCAGTATGAGTCGTTCACCATCGCAGTCTAGCACCAATGGCACACCAACCCGACCACAATCTGCCAGCATCAATGGTGCCATTTCACTGCCCCCTTTACATATTCCTCCTCATCGGCGATCTGCCCCCAAAGCTTCTCGCTCCTCCTCTTCTTCCTCCTCCTCTAATACTCCATCCTCTTCTCACAGTGCTTCTGGTTCCAACACCCCTTCCACTACTGGCACATCACTTATCACACAAAGTAAGCATTTTTATACACTTTAAGCACACAGTCATTTGCTACACATTCTGATAAAGACTTAGTGATTACTATCGCTAAACATTTTCTGTTTCAACAATTGTATTTCATATGCAAGTAAAACCAAGACAGCGTGTTACGCAATAATTCTTGTGAGATGATCCAATATACACTATTTATATTATTCGGACTATTGATGATCCAATATGTCAAAGCCTGTCTAAACTTGGATTGATAGTGCTGTGTTAGTCTTTAAATGGGGGTGGGGGGGTTCTAACCAGCTTTCTTTCTGCCTTATCCACTCCACAAATGAACCAATGCTAGGACTGGCATTAACATTTTAATTTCTCAATGGAAAGTCTGAAATTTTATTGAGCTGTTGGTTGGATTGCTAATTAAATAATGCTTCGTCTCGGTCTTAAATTTATTACAATAAATTAATTTGATGGATTAAAAAATGGAATAAATCCTTTATAATTTTAATGCCATTAAATTTTTATTAAACTTGGACATGCCTGAAAAAGAAATGTGTCAAAAGGATGATGTTTATAAATTCATGAATAAAAAGTTTTTATATATTGGTAATTGCATTAGTTTTAATACAATTGTGTTAGTTTTTAGAATGGTGTAAATATAAAATTATTCTTGTACATAAACAAATAATGTTTAATTTTTTGTTGTAAATTCTCAAGAACTAAAAAAAAAATATAAATTAATTTTCATATATTTAGGTTTTATTACAATTCTAATCATTGCTTTTTAAAACACAATAAACCTTGTCAAAGAGTGAAGGTAGTTAAAATAATTGTGGTGTTGATGGAAGAACTGTCCTTTTTAACATTCCTTTTTTTTTTTTTTTTTTTTGTGGGCATAAAGGTTCTCATTTGCCAAATTCTTACTAAAAACCTTTGAATTCAGATCAAAATGCATAAATCTTTGCTTTTAGATTTTTACATATTTTATTTCATATCTTTTAATTCTTACTTGACACAAGTTTATAAATTAAATGTTGTGATAACAAATTTTTTTTTTTTAAGCCAAGCCCATACATTTTTATCTGAAAATTGATTATAATTGCTATTAATTAGCTGATGAAACTAAGAATGTAGAGATTAAGTCTTCATAAGAGAGGATATACAGCGAGCCATGAGCATTTTTTGAAAATGATAACTGAATGAGTTTATTGGGAAAATGATTAATGTAAACAGTGACTTTCTGTTGGACATCAGTTTAAGGGGAAAAGATGCCTAATTAGAATGAGGAAGAACACTTACAGTGACTTCATTAGCAGGTTCTGCATGGCACAATTGTTCAAAGTAACCACTGTATTAAGCATGCCTGTTTGTAATGTCATAACCAAGATGATGGCCTGTTAACTTCAAGGCGCAGGTCAGGTTACTGTTTGCCATTTTCAAGGGGGTTTGTTTCTAGGTGTTGTTAATTCTTCATGTTTAACTGTTTTAAGATATGCTTTTGTCTTGTGTTGTATAGGAGCATTTATTCCAAGCTCACATCTCGAGCGCAGTTGGAATTCAAGTGATATATATGTTTCTTTAAAGACAACTGACAAGGTGTTGCGATTAAGCTTTTTATTCAATTTTCCTTGTGTTCGTATAAGTGTCTTTTTTTAGTTTATTTTTTTTCTGGATATAATGTGTGTAAAAACTGTCCAAGTGTTCCATGTATCCAACTGCTTCTGACTTTTTTTTTTAACTGCATATGTCAAAATGTAAAAAAATATATGCATATTCTGTGAGAAAAAAAAAAAAAAAGTCCCTGATAATGGCTAATTAAAAATTATGAAATCACGTTTTTATTGAATTTAGATTCATATTAAAACTTTACCCTTAGAAATTAAATTGCTTAAATTTAAATTGTAAGCAAATTGTGTATTTGTCCCCGCAAACAAATCTGTATAAACATTGTTCAGTCAATATAGATTTTGAGAGATTAAGTTGTAGGGGTTTAATAGATAACAATACAAAATTTACTAAGAGCTATAAAGAACAGGAAATTGTAGAGAGCCATGATCTCCCATGTCCTGAATATTTCGAGTTGATTTCATGCAGCCCATTTAGATTTTTTTAATGTTTTAATTGAAGCTTATTTCAGAAGGTTTAGAGCCTGGTCAGTAACTAGATGGGTGACTGCTTGGGAATACTGTTAGCTTGGATATGTGGTTTGGAATTGGAAATCATTCTTAGTCTGGTTTTGTTTAAACAATTCCCCTCTGATCAAAGTAACTCCCAAACTATACTTATAGATAACCAACATTAAACTAACAGAGGTTGAATCTATTTTCTTTTCTGCTTCAGATTTTTGTTGTTATTGCCTGGGTAGGAAGTTAGAGGAGTGTTTAGTCCAAGTGCTTTTTTACCTACTTCCTTTTCCAATGACATGCCAGTGATGAAACCTTTTGTTAAAATATCTGAAGAATTAAAATGCAGGGCATTGGGGGTAAGAATTGTGCTCTAGCTCAAGAGCATCAAGAATCTAAGCTTGGCTTACAAATTACATTATCCTCTCTACATCTCATGAGTAAACATCAAAATATAAAATTTTGTTAATCAGGTGTTGGTTATTCATATGTAATTTTTTTTTTTTTTAATTTTTAAAATATATATATATCCATTATCTCATGTTTTTGAAAATGTACAGCACATGTCCATCCCAAACCATAACAATCTGATCACAATTTAAATAATATTCATCTATTTTAAAAAATATATATATATATATATTCTAATTTTTAAGAGTTGTATCACTAAATTATCAGAAAAAAAAAAAATATTCTTACAAACAAAAAATATTTTCCAGCTTTAACACCAGAGTCCATTTTACAACCCAGAGCCCCACATGACCCACCCAGGGTTTGTTGGAAAATTCCCAATATACTCTCATTTCTATATTCAAAAATAAATTTTTGGGTGAAAAAATGTGGTCCTGGTGTACCATGATTTCCTAAGCAGTCAATCATAGCATTCCACTCCGAAAAATCCTTATAGAAAAAAAATTGGAAAACAACTTGATTTGCAGACATACCACCATAACCCTCCAGTGTTGTGTAGGAGCCAACATGTTAAATAACTTGCAAAGGGTTGATAAGCCATAAAAGCAAATCAACCTAAACCTGAAATTACTATTGTAGAAATTCGTGCCAGATTACTGATTGCCAACCTGTACCATATGTTTATATAAAAATATCCAAAGATGAGAGAATTCCCTAAAAAAACTTGTATATAGGACTTTATTTTGCCAGTGTTAGGAAAATTCAGTTTTTCATACATTAATCAATTTTTAGTCTTTAATGTTACATTTGTAATCAGAATTTTCTCTTTCATTTTATGTCCAAAAACAAAATTTAAGTATATCCTGTTTAGTATTGGGAAATTTTCTAAAACATATTTGATCAATTTTTTTTTACTCATGGTATTTATAAACTTGTGTAAGGGAAAAGAATTGCTGGAAAAAACATTGTATACAAAAAAAAATTATATAAAAGTTTAGGTAAAAAAAAAAATAGAAAACATCATTTTAATCATAATATCCAATCTGATCTGCTCATTTTAATGTCCCAAACTCATATCTAAAGCAGGTGATAAACACTTGCATTATTGCTTTTGTTTTATAATTTGACTTTCATTCTCCTTTTGTGAAAAAAACTGTAAATTTATTGTTTGTCAGATTTGTTCTGCTTCCTACATTTATTTTTCATCTAACATCCATTTTGTATTTTCCTCTTTTTAGCTTATAACTAACATTGACTTTCTTTTGATGACAGAATATCTACCATCTCTTACCTTCATCTATTTTGCAAATGTTTTGCATTTTCATTTTTCAATTATAGAAGATTAACTTTTATGTATATGTGTATTATGTATTTTAAAATAGCTTACAATTTATGAGGATATAAAAAAAAAAAGGATTGTGAGTTTTAATTGATTTAATTTTTGTGTTTATTGGATTATGCAGCAATTTTCTTGTTAGACAAAAAATTAAAAATAATGAACTGCTTACAGATGAAAAATATAAACGTTTTTAATATGTCTATAACCCATATCTTCTAGCATCAGTTTAAACTGATCCTCCCCCCCATATCTTAATTATAATTTTGGAAAGAGAAAAATTTCACTGAAATATGTTAAAAAAAAAAAAAAAAAAAATTTACAAGTTGTCATTTAAAATCAAGGTTACAATATATAACAAAAAAAAAAAAAATGTATCAGTTTAAACTGATGCCAGGAAGATATAGGTTAATATTGATTTTTTGAGGTTATATTTTTAAGAAAACTAAAAATTTTGAAAGAAAACTAATGTTTATTTAAAGCACTTCTGAATTTTAACGTGATTTTCTGTGTCTGTCTATATTTCTGAGATGAGGTATTATGTACAGTATTTACATTAGTCGGACTATTGTCCTCATCTTTGTTGCCATATTTGCCAACCACCTGAAGAAGGCCGGAGCGTACAACGGCTGAAATGTTGTGACAAATATGGCGACAAAGATGAGGACAATAGTCCGACTAATGTAAATACTGTGATTTTCTGTGTATAATAATTATACAGTTATTATAAAGGTTGAGATTTTAACACCATTGTTGATTTAATTGATCTTTTCTGTCAACAAATTGTGGGATTACAGGTTTTTTGGGGGTGGCTTTTTAAGCTGTTTTTAATTTAACAATTCACCTTAAGTAAAGTTTGGGTCATAAAGATGGTATTATAAAATTTTTTTGATTGATCAAATGGTAATGGTGAAATTAGCTGTTTTCCAGACAGAAAACATTTGACATTTATTGACAGAACAATGTTACTGTCAATTTGAAATTCATTCAGGAAATGAGACTTCTTGAATCTACTAATCTCTTTCTAATATTGAGGGGAGTTTCTTTCTGAACCTTTTGTTTTAAGCAATGTGGAAAGTTAACAGCTTGATTAATATATATATATATATATATATATATATATTTTCTGTTTATACATTATTTTTATAGACACAATTT